GGATATAATTTGGTATTTATTAGTATCTTGTTTGGCTAGGAAATCAGTTAGATTGTAAAAAGAGTTATTAGAATGAGATTTGATTTTATAAAAGAAATATTAAGAGACTTTGTTTTAATAAGATAGTAAATAATAAATAGAATCTCCCAATTTTTATATAAGAGAATTTATATAATGATAAAAATAGTTGAATATTTTAAGTACAAAAAGATTGTCCAGATATATATTATTTTGTAAATTTATTGGTAAGATAAGAAGAAGATATATTATTGCTTCAAGTTTTGCTCAGGTAGAGTTGGAATATGAAGAAATAGAACAGTTAAATTTGATTTGAATATTGTGTTCAGAAATCTATCTAATTCCAATTTTAGGATGTGATGTTTGACCATTAATAATTGAGAAATCTGTATAGAAATAAGTATCATTTGGAAGATTTTTTGCTAATAAAAATAATTCAATGAGTTGGTTTTGATAGTTAGAAAATGATATGTATTTTGGTATTATTTGTATTTCTATTTCAAAAATGTATATAATTGGAGTTTAAGTTGGTATAAATAGTAGGAAAGTTTGTTGTAATATATTGATAAGTGTATAAATTTCATGATTATCAATATAAAGAGAGTAAATATTATCTTTTTTTAATAACTTAATATTTGAAATATTGATGAAATTTTGAGGTAATAGTATAAGTAAATTAGTAGAGGTTAGAGATATAGAGTCATAAGCAGTATTATTGATTAAGAAAAATTAGATAAATTCTTTATAAAAAGAATTTAGGAATTGTTAAGAAGAATAGACCATTGATTTAATAATAATGAGTGAAAGGATGTAATTGTATCAAGAGAATTAATAAAACTAATAATATTAGGTAGGTTAAGATGTAGCCATATTTGGTGAATAGTATTATTTTAAATAAGATTACAAAGTTTAGTAAACCAAGAAGAAGTAGATCCATGTATGGATTTCTTAATTCATATATATATATTATTTTAAGATAAAAGATATAAGTTGTTAGTAGTTATAATTTGTTCAATGAAGAGTATTTTATTATTATAGTGACTATTTGTTAAAGAGAAAGAGATATTAAATAGAAGAATGTCATTTATTGTTTTTGTAATTATAGAGATGTTAGTTGGTAATAAATTTAATAAGTTATTAAATAAAAAATAAATATTAGAGTTATGTAAAAGTAAGAGTTAAAAAATAAAAGAGAAATTATTAGTTTTTAGTAAGAATTTAGAGAGTATATTCAACAAAAAATGTGGTTACCATATTTTAGTAAGCCAGTTTTTAATTCTAGTTTCATCAATATGTTTAAGAAGTGAAGTAGAATAGAAGATATATTCAATTGTTGATATTACAACTTTTTGAGTTAAGTGTTAAAATGTTGGAAGTTTAAGAGATAATGAGTTTGTAAGAAGAATATTAAATATATTTTTTGCTAAATGAAGTATTTTTTTTGTTGTAATTGAAAGTAGTTGTGAGAGATTTTGTTGTTGTGTTTTGGATATTGATAAGATTTGTAGAAGATATTCTAAGGATGGTTATAGTATTATATTAAAAAGTATAGAAATTTGTTTGGACATAAGTTTTTTATATTTAATTAAAGAGAGAAAGTTTTCAATTTTGTTTTGAAGCATTTCAAAAATTGATTTAATAGAACTATTTCTATCAAAATAAATACTAAGTTAACATATGATTTTATGTGGTTTACATAAAGGTATTATTTGATTATTATAATAAAAAGTCAGTATAAGGATATTTAGTTTGTTTTTGTTTTGAAAAATATATAAAAGATCAGTTTAGTTGGATTAATTTTGATATTATTAAGATTATATAGTTGTTGTGTATTATTCAAAATATTTTGAAGAGTTTCAGAATTTCACTATACCAAACAGTGTCATTTATAAAAGTCATAAAAGGTATTGTTATTGAAGAAGGTAATATATTGAAAATAATCTCAAGTAGTAAAGAGGAGATAATTTTAAGTAAATAATTGTTATATATATTATGAATATAAGTCAGAATTGGATCATAATAAATTTTTCAAAGAAGAGAAGAATATGTTTCACCTTGTTCAATACCTGATTTAATATAAACAGATGATATAAGACTATATGCAGTAATTATTCTTGTTTGTCAGTCTATATATAGTTTAGTAATAAGTTGGATTCTTTTTAAAGAAATACTAATTCTTTTGCAAATATTCTGTAATTGAGATATGTTAATTTATCAAAGGCTTTGGACATGTATTGAAACATTATCCAAGCTTCTTTGTTGAAATATTTGTAGTATTCAATAGTATTATTAAGAATTTGGATAGAAATATGTATTGAAGAGTTTTTGATATCAGCAAAGTTAAGATTAGAAAGGAGTTTATTAGAATTAATAATATAATCTAGTCTTTGTATAAAAATTTTAGTAAACTATTTTTTCATTGGTTCTATAAATTGAGGTTGGGTAAACTTGATTAAATGTAAAGTCACATAAGGATTTTTTTGGAATAAGGAAAATATTAGATGTTTTTCAGTCAAATGGAATTTTTTGGAGTTGAAGACATTTGTTAATAATTAATTTGAGAGAAATTTGGCCAGTAGAAGCTACATATTTAATATGTTCATAGTTTGTTTTAAGAAGACTTGCAGTTTTTTAAAGAGGAAGATTTTGAATAATACTTTACCATTCATCATCAGAAATATTGTTAAATAAGTTTTGATAATATATTTCAAATTCATGATGAAGTTGGTATAATTGATAATAATCAGATATAGGTTGAATTTGTTAGAGAGGTTTTTCATTAAAGTATTCAGTAAAGTAAGTGTGAATAGCTTGTTTAATATGATCTTCTTCTGTTAATAAAGAATTATTTGTTAGAAGTCTGTCAATGTGTATACTATTATATTTTTTAAGAATGTTTTTAAAGAATTTTTTAGGTTATGATTGGAAAAATTGGTTACAATCCTCAATTTTTTGTTAAATTTCTTTTTGGATTTGTTGTTGATAAAAAATATTGAGTACTAATTTAATTTGATTAAATTCTTATATAATTAAAGAATATGAGTTGTTTGAATTTTGTAGTTTATCAATAAGATTTTTAGAATATTTGGTTTTGTATTCAATAAAAAGATTGTGAAAGTTGAATGATTGTAGATGGTTTTTTAAATATTGTATTTGTTTATATCTATAAAAGAATACATGTTGTTTAGAAGATTTGTCATCTTTAATTTTCTGAATTGTTTTAATGTTTTTGTAAAGAATGTTTTTTAAAGCAGTTTTAGTAAATGGTTTAAGTATTTTATTTCAGATTATATTGAGTTCATTTTGATTTGAAATATTGAATATTTGGTTTTGTAATTGACAAAGATTTTGTGATATTTGATTTAAATAATTTTTAATATTTTTTTTTTAAACAGAATTTCTAAAGAAAGTTTTTTCTTTTATATTATTTAGAGGGTTTTGTTTTGTTGATAATTATAGAAATTTTCAGAATAATAATTTTATAATCTGATTTAGATAAGATATTCTCAAAAATATTAGTGTATTCAATTTGAAATATGTTTAAGTTTGTTCATATTTGATCAATTCTGTTATTAGAGGTTGAGTAAAAAAATATAAAGTTTAATATTATGAAGAAGAAAAATTAATATATATTTTTAAATTGATAATTGATTAAGTATTTGAGAATTTGGGATTCTGAAATAGAAATGTTTTTTGGAAGATTTCTATCTTGACAAGAATTTGGAACATTATTGAAATCATCAAGATTTATAAGTTGATAATTAGAATTGTTATAGAATAGAATAATTTGTTTATGAATTTTAGCATGTAGTTGTTTTTTCTCTGAAATAGAAAGATATATTTGAAGAATATGAATAGAATTGTATTTAAAATATAGATTTAGACCAAGTATATTATTATTATAATTATATATTCTAACAATATATTTAGAGATTCTTTTATATATAAAAATTTCAATACCAGCTTGGTAAAGATTTTTATAAGAATTCCAGAAACTATTATAATTTTGAAGAATTTGATTAAAAATTTTTTTTTCTTTAGAACTAAGATGAGTTTCTAATAGTCCAAAGATATTAAAATTATATTAGTTAATAATATTAATAAATAGACTCTTTTTTGAATATTGGAATAAATCATTAATATTTAGAGAATTGATTTTTATAAGAATTGAAATTATAGATATGAAAAATGTTTGGAGAGAAGGAATATTGTTAATTAAAATAATATTAGATAAATGTAATATAGGAGAGATAGGATTTATAATATTAAGATTGTTAATATTAAAGAAATCAGAATCTGTTAATAAATTAGAAACTGAAAATTGTTGATATAATTTGATAAATAGGTTATAGCATTGATAATAAAGTGATATAAAGAAGTATATAATTTGGTATTATACTATTGTTTAAGTTTTTATAAACATATGTTTCAGTAAGTGTAGTGTTGATAGAAATTTTGAATGATTTATTAAATAGATTATTTTTTAGATGTTGAAAAAAATTTAAAAATGTTTGATTAGATGATAGAGTTAGAAGATTATTATAAATTAAAAAAAATATTATAACAAGAAAGATTCTTGAAGTTAGGAGAAGAGTTAGAATTCAAGAATGGATAATGGATTTCTGCAAGATTGCTTACTGTTTTAAGCTCAGCTTGTATAGCTGTGAAAGATATTGTAGTCTTCTTTGTATATTGGGCCTGATCATCATAATTCCAGTCTTTTGTATAAATACTTAATAATAACAAATAATAATAAATAAATAAATAAAAATCAAAAAAAAATCTTTGTATTCATGGAGTTTATCCTTAAGAGAAGGAAAAATGATGCAGGAAATTTTTAACTTTTGATGTTACCCAGGTTCCAAATTATTGTATCATACAGATACCCAGTTCTAATGACTACATATTGGTGATCATATGATTATCCAGTCTGATTACTTTGCTGTTACTACATTTCTCTTCACTTTTACTTTATTTTTCCCTCACTACTAATTCCTATACAATATTTTTAGATTTCTTCCCATTACCACATTTTAGCAACATTACAGCAACATTACAATCATTTACGTAACAATGATTTTAGAATAACTTCATTTTTTTTCTTATATATGTATAAAAAGTATATTTAAAGGATGCCACGAGGAGAAAGGAAAATATTCATTCTTCCTTATATATTAAAAAATTAAGCTTGAAAGATAATAATAAAATAATTGCTAACAACAATAATAATAAATACATTCATTACTATAATAATTGGTGAATCCCTAATAATTAATCTACCAACATAAACCTCACGGATCGTGACACCAGATCTGAAATTGGTTTGTTTTAAATCTGACCAAATGATCCGCAAATTTGGCCAAAATTATAATGATGGTTTTTCTATTTATCAGATGATGCAGACCACTGATATGAATTATTAAACCAACATACAGTTTGTTTGTCACTTAATTAGGTGTTTGATTAAGTAATAATTAAATAATTGATCGGCTATAGCCGCGGCTAGCCGGTAATAAACGACCGATAACCGACCGTAACCGACCGAATCCATCCCTAATTATTTGCTGACTCATTGCGAATTTTGGGGCTTCTCTTGCATACTATGGGAAACACGATCGCCGGTTTACAATCTGGGTCACGATCCAAACTACGATTCCAGTCACGTTTTCGGTCACGATTTCGGAGATAGTCGCGCAACGGTTTCAACCGGGTTTGCCTCTAACTATATGTTATAATAGACCATATAAATGTCTGGAGCTTCAATCTCTACATAAGGTGATACAAAAGCTGCGTTTTTGATACAGTTTTTTCATAGAAATGTATTTTTTTGATACATTTGCATATAAATCTTATAAAAATTGTACCAAAACAGCAATTTTTGTCGGTCCGCACGCTGCATGCGTGAATATTTTAGGCACACATGTATAATAATAACGTCAGAAAATATTTTCGGAAGCCGAAATTATTTTGGTAGCCGAAATTATCAGCCGAAAAATTAATGATTTATGGTTTAGGCAACCTAAAATATTTTCAGCAAGCAAAAATAATTTAGGCACATATCTAGAGACATGCCTATAGGCAATCTAGCATTGACATGCCTATTACATACCACCATAGGCATGCAACCCTGGCATACCCATGACATTCGTGTCACTCACCCTAACATGGATTAGATAAAAGGATTTTATTATATCTTAGTCACTATATCAGGATCACAAAATAGAAATAAGTTAACACTAAGTCCTATGTGCTAAGCGGAAATTTCGTTTCTGCCTATCTTTATGCCATCCAGTAAATGTCTATTACTTAAACAGTACCTAGTATCAGTATGCTAGTTTACAGAACGACTAGAATATATAATCTTATAGAATATATAAAAACACCAGGAACTTTTTCCTAATTTATAAAAGGTACCAAAAATTTTTATACTTGGTAAATTCGATCTTTGATCAAGAGCTTCATAGAATCTAAACCTTTTAAAAAGCACACATTGATGAAAAAGAAACAAATACGAGTAAAATGTAAAAAGATGTTAATTTAAAACAAAAATAAGGAATATGATGTCACGACTGAAGCCGAAAACAATTTATGTTAGAAAATTAGAGTCATATATTTAAAAATATAAACTCTACCGAACTACTTATACATTCTTATTATCAAAACTAACTCTAAATCCTAAGTTAATTATACAAAAAAGAAGAAAAAACCAATACATCCTTGAAAATTTAAAAATTTCATATTAAGGTATTTAAAACTCCTAGCTTCTGCCATTTCTAGCTTCAGCCGCAACATATAAACATATAAAAAGGATAAAAAAAATTATAATTAATATGTTGCATTGTGTATCCAGAGATTCATAGTTTTTGCACTAAAGTGTATAGTAAAAAGCGAATTAATAACACACAACTAATACACAAATGAAGATAAACACCAAGTTATAAATTTTTGATAATTATTAATGCATTAAAAACGTAACTATTGTATCACCTTGACGTGGAATTAAATGTCCTCAATTATGCTCCGGGCGATGATTGTTATTATTTATTTGCATTCAGCTTATCTAAATAGATTTATTATGTATTATTATTATATCATTCGATGGCTTTAATAGCATAAATGAGGACTATAAATACTAACCTTCAGGAATTTCAAGGACTATCGTCGAATAACCATCTTTATAAAAGATTATAATAATTAGTACTTATATATTATTTGTTTAGAGTAAATTTTAAATAAGCAATAATTACTTGTTTAATAAAATACTATTTACCTTCGGTTATCGCTTTTTTCTTACTTATATTTAAATCATGTACTTTTTCAAATTTGGCTGAAGACTCCCGAGTTATTTTATAATTATTTGTGTCTTCTTTATTATCTAGTTCTTTATTTGAAATATCTTTTTCTTGATCCGTATCATCATTTGTTTCATTATTAATTATTTTTATATTTGTAGAATCTTCATTTTCATTAAATTCTTCACTAGCATTATCATTCACTTTATTAATATCATTTATATCAGATCTAATTTTTGAATATTCTCGATTAATTTTAAGATGTTGAGATTTGTAATATTCAGAGATAAGTCTGTATATTTTAGCAAAAATATAGACAATTAAGGACAATAAACTTATTATAAGATTGATAAAAGGAATTATTTGGTAGTCAATTATACTTTTTTCGTATAAGATCTTGTAAAAAAAAAAAAAAAAAAAACCAATATTAAAAGCTATACTAAAACTTTTAGTAAGATTTTATTACCAAACTTACTTGAATAATCAACCATGGTATGCTATCAATAATAATAGTTATTATCTTTCCTATAAAGATATAGTCTCTTGCCTTTTTTGAAAATGGTGCATTAAACATTTCAAACCCTCCAAAATGAGAATAATAAAATTTCCACATCTGCACTGGCGAGTAAAGTAAATATAGCAGTACTCCTAATATTACTAGTAAACCATTCTCTAAAATAATTGTTTGAAATTTCTTTGGTAAATATCACAAATGCTAAAGCTATATCCAAGCTCAAATTGATTACAAAAAAGACAATGCTAAATATATTTGAAAAAAAACATATTAATTAAAATGAAAATAGTTAACTGCACTATCAAAAGTGGTAAGCGGTCCGTGTGGGAATGGGAAAACAGTGTCTAGGCACGGACTTCACGTTCATGGCTTGGTTTGTACAGGATTAGTAGTATTTTATGATCAATATACCCATGTCAAAAGTGTACATGGATCTATATAGTTTTGCTAAAACACTAGTGCAATGTTATTAGCAAAAGTTGATATTGAAAACAAAATTTCTCATTGTTCTTTCGCGCTTATTGATAAACAGCGAAATGAGCCCATATGTGTCACTTTTAACATGCATTACTCTGTAAAATAAACTATTGCCTGTCATCTGATACTACCACTTTATATGACGTGACATAACATCCCACTCTAAGTCAAAAGGTCTGTGCCGCTCCACAAGAATGCTTGCCCATTACAACATGGCTCGTATAAGTTTGTGCATTTTGATGCCAACCAATACCACATCCCCGAACCACATTTCTTATAGGGCTATTTTAATATGAAAAAAAGAAAACATATAAAAACCTTGGTGCATAAAGTTCAGGAACCTTTTTGCACTATCTTTAATAAAGAATATGCTTGAAATCAAATGAAGTACGCTTAAAATCGATGTCAAAAAACTATAGTATTACACTGTAACATTCATGAATTAAAAAATTAGTACACAAAAAGATTGTTCTAATTTGAAAGAAAGCAATATATATATACCTGGTTTTGTGAATAATTTTTAATAAAATCACTAAAACATGGTGTATCAGTTTTAATTGAACATTTTGGCTTGTGTATACAGTTTGGACTCAATACAGATAATAAATTTTCAGTCGAACCACGTTTGCATTGTGAATCAGCATCATCTGTAGAACATCTTGGTGTATGTAAGCAGTTTGGATTTATCTTTAAGTGCCAACATTTGTTCATAAGAGATTTCCTATTATGTCTATGATATGCCAAAATACATAATATGATCAAAACCACAAAACCAAGACCAAAGCTTATTAAGTAATATTTGGCTTCCGCAACTTCATTATAGAAGTTTGCTAAAAAAAGAAATTAAATGAATCAAAATTCATGAAAGCATATTATCGGATAAAATTATCATAGCGCTTACGTGTTGGCTTAAATGGATATGTCTCGTCAATATAGCCAGCATGAGGTAAAGTTGCAAGAATAGTAACATATTTGTGTTTAATTAGTTCATTTATATCATCCATTATTTGTTTCGCGTTTGGTTGAGATAAATCTTTCGAATCAATAATTTTAAGTTCGCATAATTTTTGTTGTTGAGGAGTTGTCAAATCGACATTAACGTGTCCAGTGAAATATAGCCTCGAAGTATCAGTAGATAAACTTTGAACAAGTTCTTCAGTTAAACTACTAATGAATGAAGATTTTTCATCTGGGTTTAAAGCATTAAAATAATCGGTTCCATTTTCGGACAAACGTATACTTCCCATAACTGATGCTAGACAAAAAAACAAACGATCTTTAAAGAAAAACTTCATAATATGTCATAGTGATGAATAAATTAATGATATATACAAACGTAAATGTTTGGTGAATCTATATTAAACATGAATATTAAGCGAGAGCAATACATTTAATTTTTTAAATGAAAGAATTGAACATTTATACTATCAACTTACATTGTGATGTCATGACGTGCCAGATGCCCATTTTAATTCCACGAAGTGGTTCATTAAATGAAGACATTCTAACAAAATTATCATCAGCAACAACTACATAATTGCTATTAATTTGATTAAATGTACTAGAAAAGATCGGACAAGATAGAGTCGTATAATTATACACGTTACAATATGAAGAAGCAGAATAAGTTTGACGTAATAAAACGTTATTTTGATTGATTATTTGATAAATAGAAATATTTCCAGAAGATGGAACGATTGAAAAATTAAAAGTAATACTAATTAAGTCATTAAATGATATGGGTACTGAAGAACTTAATTTTGGGTAAGAAGATATGATTGCAGCGTTTCCATAACCGACTAATTAAAAAGAGAAAGAGCTATATTAAAAAAAAAATTAAAATAAAACGGAATAAAATGAAATAAAAATAATTACAATCATTATAGACTCGTTTCACGTTGAATGTAATTAACGTAAGATCATAAGTATTATTAAATTGCGTAAACCATAAGGTATTATTATTAAAAACACCATATCTAGATAGTTCAACATCTGGAATATCATATAAAATTTCACCACTAATTGTAATATTATCTAAATTAGATGTTTGGACTCGAAGTTCGTGATGATCCAGAGGAGAATTATCATATAACTTATAAGTTGTACTTTTGAATTTAATTGCACCGCCGTATGGTAACGGAACGACAGACTGTATTACAATTTTTCCAGGATTGTAATCGCCAGTGCTATTATTTGGGAGAGTTCCTACTTCAATAACTGACCCAGATGATGAAAACCTTATGAATCTTGTAAATTGACTGGCTGTATTATTGTCGTAAACAGCAAACTCAAAATAGATGCAAATATTGCTCTGAAAATTTAATGAATAAAGCCCAGCTTGACATCTAATTGATCCATAATACTTTATCGTGTTATCATAAGATTGATATAATAAAAATTGTTCGTTGGGTATGTCCAAGCTGTCTCTTATAAAATGCGCATATATTGAATAATCGGGTGCGTCATAACGATAGAATGCTGAAATATTTGTTGAATTTGATATAGGATAACGTACTGGAATTTTATTTAAGCTTTAATAAACGATGATATGTTGTCCATCGACTGCAGTAAAAGCATGATGATATAAGATTTCAAATCCGTTTCTTGATATAATGGACCCATTCGATATTGGTGAAGCGATACCACTGTCTTCTCTAAAAATGCAAGAATTGTTAGTACAGAAACAGTTGAACAACTATTTGTTGGCACAAAACTTACGCAAATCGATATTTTGTCCAGCTAAGATAATTAGGTCTTCTATGGGTAACAACAAAGCTTTTAGAAATATCGCTAAAGCTTGTAATAAAAGTTGGGTTAACATTTGCATCATTTATATTGAAATGATACAATGATGTAATATTACTACAAAATTGTAGTATAAAAAATTTTAAATATCGCACTCTAAAAATAATGCACATGAAAAAAAAAAATATTTACTCTTGAGTTATTTTGCCTTGTGAATTTATAATAGTTCCGAACATGGTAAGATCTTCTTTCGGATCATTTTTATTATAATATAACAAAATCATATGATTTATTGCTAAAGGCTCAATATCATAAAGAACCCAGGCACTTGAATTGCTTAAATTAATGGAACCTTCGTAATTTATTGGGAGTATACTTCCATTTTGATGGATGAAATGTAATTGTAATAGGTAAAAATGTGTTTGGTTTGAGGTAACTATCAGAAGTTTTCCGTCATCAAACTGTCGAGTGATAACTAGATATCCATATTCTGATAAATTATACTTAATTACGTTGCTTCCCCATTATTTAATACAAGCGCAATAAGGACAATTGCGACAAAATATTTAATCAAATTCCTGTAATTATTTATTAATCACATAACTTTGATAATCAAATAAATTGAATAATGTTTATTAGAGGGTATTTGATATCGCATTTTAATATCCGGAGCTTTGCGGAAAATTCTTAATGCTGTTACGACAAGGCAATTTAGATACAGGTCGGTAGGCATTAAAAGACCTACTGATAATGGAAGTCGATGCTTTTATATACGTAACGTATGCATAAAAAATGGTGTAATTCTGTGTAAAAGTTTAATGATAATCATTACGTCTTTTCGTAATAATGTTAGTTACGACATTTTGTCGTAACAATGCTTAGTTAAGTCAATACCATATTTATGTTATTGATTTATTTTAGGAATATAAATAATTCTAATGCTAATGCTTTTTATTCATACTATAGTAAATGTCTATAAAGATCTAGTTTGTTACATTCTACCAACTTTAAATCTCTAATTAAAATTCAATTACTCTTTTTTCACTACAATATGGCATATCAAAATAACAATCAATGTAAGATGAAAATTAAAATTTCATATCGTTGAAATAAAAAGCTATTTCTACTCAATGACAACTCATTGTAAGTTATATAAGTCTTCCAATATTTTAAGGAAATGAATTCTATCGCTCAAAAACAATGTAAAAGGCGCAACAAAGATACGTGTTACCAATACTTATTACCAATTCGTTGCTGTTTATTTTAAACTGTGTTCATGCATATGTTACATATTTAGGTGTGTCAAAATTATTATAACATAATCTCAACAAAGTTATTAACACCGTATGCTACTTTTTTCGTGAATCAATTTATCCTTTTTTTATCACTTATAGACAGAATGTGTATTTGACATAAATTTTGTTATACACACATGACAAAAATATATTAATAAGCATATCTTATGTATTTATCTTCAAGCTTCTGGTATTTATTCTGCCACAATTTAATAGTATGACTCTTTCATAATGAATGTTCGTTGATAATATTCTTTCAAAATACGTAAAAATCTATAATGAAAAAATCCATCTTCCATAGTGGTCAGCTAAAGCAGAGTAAGTTACTTTTTTGTTGCTGTGATGTCAAGAATGTAATTTATGCAGCATGTAAATCACATTGAACAAACTCCGCTTTAACCGACCCCAAAAATAGTAATTATCATCTGAATTTTTTATTTATGCTTCACAATAGATTTGCATTACATATTACTAAAAAAACGGGTTGGTTAAAGCGGAGCGAGTTTTAGAGTTACCTTTTTGATGCAGTTATGGTTTGTGGGTTATCATTAAATCAAGGCAACTGATTGTTATGGTAACCATCATTCCGATAGTACATGTTATGATTATAAAATGGCATAGGATTATAATTATAACAGTCATGTAACATTAACGGTTCCTTCTGTACCAGGAACGGAGTGAAACGAAGTTTATGGTTTTACCGAGAGTAAAATGACGTGTGCAAATACGAGTTTCTGATTTGATATGGTTCTAAATGGTATGGTATCTTGATTATATCTTGTTTATCTGGCACGTGTTATATATGCAGACTTGCGGTGGCTAATCCTTTTATAAAAATTGAATCAAACCGACTGAACACGTTTATTGTATAAATATAATTAAGCCGCATTTGTATTACTTATAAGTAAAAATTTCTTATTATTTTAATAAACTATCTTACGCAATAATCAATAAAGAGACCGTTGGACAATATTTGGCATAAATATTTTATTATGTTCTATACGGTTTCTGCAATAAAATAATCATTCCGCTTATTCCAACTTGACAACACCTTATACGAGTTGATATCTTGTTATTTTTGATATTAAACAATAGCAACTCGTATTGAGAGCCATATTAGGAGATCGATCAAAATGGAGTTTGAGTTGACATTACATTTTTGATACGGATGGTTACTATTTATATCAGTATACAGGTTATACAATATGTAGATCGTGTATTTCTTTAACGACTCCTATATGAATGCCGCCAAAGGAAAAAGGCACCTCAGCATATTACTGATTAATTATTGAGTTCAGCAATGATGTAGATTGGACATTAAATTATACAACATGATTCGCGGCTGAAGCTGAAAACGGTTATACAACTAGTCATTCATACAATTTAGTTATTGTTTAATTTAAATAGTCTATTCAAAGACTCTACACTAACTACCATACTTAAAACCTGCTTGTAAGTTTCTTATTTAAACATTCTAGTTCTGTATTCATCTGTCTATTTACATCTATTAATGATTCTAGTTGATACTAGTAAAAATATAACATAGTTATTAAGTCTTTAAAACAATTCATTTATATAAAGAATTATTGATCTTGTATTAAAGTTTTAAAATCTTTTATATTTCATTATTATAGCTGATTTAGTTATGTTATAATTAAAATCAACACTTGCAGTCAAAATATAACATTAAACTGTTATGTTCTTGTAGAGTTAATATTTATTTCAAGTTTTATCAAGCTTTTAGTTTAAATAGTTTAGAAAGATAAATACAATTATACTTTATATTTATATATTTTTTAGTATATAACTTTTTTTTCATAATTTTTTTTAAAGTTTTAGCAGTCTAATTAGTTATAATAATTTATTCTTAAAGACTAGTATATCATCTAGTTTTATAAGTTCTAGTTTTGTTTTCTAAATCTAGTCTTTATAGTAGTATTGTTAAAATTTTGGATTATTTTTTTACTTGGGTCTTTTAAGTAAATTTCTGTTTTTCTGGTTTCTAGATTATCTTCTTTATTTATAAATCAAAAAATCAAACAAATAAAAATTGTAAAATGCAGGTTCAACTTCTGCTTGGGACATTTACTCATTAACAATAAGATGGATGATTTACATAGTCACAAGTATTTATTACAGGTTCACACTATTTAATACTAGTTTGTGTTTCTTTATATATAAACAGTCATTATATGAATGTTATATGACCTTTAGTTATATTAATATAATATATATAACAGATATCTAATTCTAACTAATAACAGAAAACAATTAACTGTAATGTAAAAAGAATTTCAAATTTTAATTAATATTGGAATTTGAACTTTAGATCTATTACTTACAGATTAACAATATAATTATTTCACTATATTATTATATTTTTGCAATATTTTTTATTTATAATATATATATTATATCTATTATATATATATTTTTTTTGGTGTTAAGGTGACCTCTTAAATCTTTTGACTTTATTTAATAATGATAAATATGTTTTAGTGAACCACTACAGGAAGAGCATACAATTGGCTATATGTATAACTTTTTTATATTACCTATTTAAAGAGTCTGTCTGAAGATTTCTTACCAATTGCCATACCTAATACCTCTGCTTGGATATTCTATTTTAAACCCTCTAAACTTGCAAACCTGTTAACTTCACTGGATTATACCTAATGCTCTGATTATTGTCTTAATCTTAGAACTATTTTATTCTTAAGAAAACCTCCAAAGCCTTCTATATTCATTTTTATAACTAACTTAGATATTATTATGACAAAACCAACACTTGTGATTAGAGCTTAACTATTAAAATATTATGTTTTTGTATAGTTCACTTAGACCCTAGCAGCTACTTTATAGCATAACTCTGGTACTTTAGTATACCTTTGTCTTTTTATCTACTTATTTATTAAACTTCCAATTCAGATAATTTGTATAGAACTATAACCAGTTCATTAGTATATCAGATCAGTTTGATATCCTTTTCCTTTAGCTTATTCTGACAGTCTAGTTGGTGGTACCTCTAAAAATTCCAACCTAAAGGTTCTTGCCCCTCTGGCTACTACAACTGTGTACTATAACCTTAGTATCTATTTTTCCAAACTAGCCTTTACAGTAGAGCTATCAAAGATTCAGTTATTTTTCTATTTGGGTTTTCTCAAATAAATTTCTTGTTATCCAATTTCAATAAATTTATATAGCCACAGACTTATCTAGTATTTGCACTGCCTGATTTGTTAGTTTGCATTCTCTGTGTAATGTCATACTTACACAAATGCTCTATAGTCTACTAGTTATGCTAATGCAACTGCTATTACAGATATCCTAACCTAATTGTTAGTAACAGTTGCTATAATATGAATATTACATAGATAATTATTCAAATTTTTATTATCAATAGGATTTGAACACCTAACCTACCACTTGAAAAGTTAACAATCTGATCACTTCACTAGATCACTATATCTGTTTATTATATTTTTTAGTTTTTATATATAATAATACTATTATATATAATATTTATTCATAATAAAGTAGTCTTTATTGTAATTATTTATATATATAAATTATTTATAAAAATTGTTTTTGTATTTTTTAAAAAAGTTAAATGTTTTTATATATTTAATAGATAATAAATAAGTATAATACTTAGTATCTTTATATAATATTTATTTGTTATCTCTGTTTTAAAAATACAAATTATTATATATATTGTTAAGTTTTATATAAGTTTTGTTTAAAATTATCAAATTATAGTCTTCATAATAGTTAAATAACTTTTTTATTACTATTAAATAAAAAATCTTTAGGTTAACAATATACTATAATTAATTATATTAAAATATTAAATGTAATATAAAAATTATATTTTTTAAAAAAATTACTATAGCTAATTATATTAAAAGATTATATATAATATAAAAATTGCATCTTTTAAAAAAAATTATTATTAATTTAAAAGTTTATCTATAAAATTATCTTCTATATTTTAATAAAAAAATTCTTTATAAAATTTTAATATAATTATAATCTTCTTTATTCTTAATTCTAATTCTAAAGATAATGCTTATTACATTAAAATTTTTACTTAATTTGATTATTTTAATTTTATATTATATCTGATTTTTAGATTTAATTGACAAAAAACTATATATTAGAAAAAATCATATATACAATAATGATTATAAGTAATGGAGTAAAAAAAAAAATTAGTTAGAATATATTATTTTATATAATAGTAAACATATCTTTTTTTTAATTTACTAATAAATACTTTAGAGGTCATATATTGTTGTCTAGAAATTCAATGAGTTTGTTACTAAATTAAGCCAACTTTTATATAATCTATAGTAGTTAAGTTGAAACAGAAATGTTAGATTTGATAAGTAAATTATTGTTTGTAGATAAGTAATAGTCACTTTTCTTAAGTCTTTTCTTTAACCTATTCTTAATTTAATTCTTATCTTTTTTTCTTTATATCAACTAGGATTTCATTATATCAAATTGGGGTTGGAACTCTTCTTAGTTCTTTTGTTATAGTTTACCAAACATGTGACTAGACAAGTAATCAATTATGGGTTTAGTTTATTGTTAGAGTTAATAGGTATTGTTAGAAATAAAATTTATAATAATAACTAATTGTATAAGGCAACCTTTCATTTTATTATAGGTTGGGTAGTTAGTTTATATTTCACAATTGTAATTACTAACCTTTTGGCTTAGGCAAATTGCTTTTTATTTATAATAAATGTTCTTGTCTATTTATATTATAAGATTATATAATATATTAAACATATCTAATATATTGTATATGTCTAATTTATTATATATATTGCATTTATTTAATATATTACACTTATGTGATATAGCAAATATATTAAATATATTAGACATATTTGATATATCTAACATACCTAACATTTTTGATATTTGGAAGTTTTGTTTCATGTACTAGTCATATTTTTGGGTCTCATAATATAAATAATTTAAAAAAATAAATAAACTGAATTTTTTGAGAATATGAACTTTATTTCAATTAACATGTTGAATTACTATTGATTATATTTAATACAACACAATATTAAAATAAAAAAATTTTTTATATATAAAAAAAGTTATTTTTATTCTAGTGCCTTTTTATCTTTATTATTTAATATATTTACTATATATTTTAATAATATTATAAATTTATTCAGGCATAAATCAAATTAGGTTGGTGCAAATCTTAATATTAATTTGTTGTCAAACTATTTGAACTTTGTTCCAAAGATTTTCTTTACTTGAAATTTATCTAGAGTGATTTTTAAGCTGATAGTCAACTTTAACTTACAGATATTTAATGAAATTAAGGTCAGAAGATTGAGATAACTAATCTAATAACTGAACATAATTATTTCTTAACTAACAGATAAGAGAAAATTAT